AGGGTTTAACATTTCAGGAGGTGGAGAACTTCTTTACTTTCCTAAAGAATATTAATGATGTGGACACTGCCTTGAGCTTTTACCATATGGCTGGGGCATCTCTTGATAAAGGTAATAAAATCCAAAAGTTATCTTTTTTTTCTTTACAGGGATAAGCATTGACTCTTAATCTAATAATCTACTAAATAGGTCATTGCCTCTCTTTAAAATAATGTGCTTTTCTTGACACTGTGTTTTATTAGATTGCACAAATCTTGCATTTTACCCTGAGATACCAAACTTAGCAAGTATATTTTCTTAAACTAAAGGCTCTAGTCAGGGCAGATACCCATCTTTAGATGTTACACATGGAATCGACATCCAAGCAAAGGGACAGCACATGAAGCAGCCTGCCTTCTCTCATCTGAGCTAGAATGATGACATGTACAAGGGTGCTTCAAACAGTTGTGGGGAAATTGCATTATCTTTTAATTTTTCCATGTACTTTTTGAAGTCCCCCATACAATGTAAAGTGGAAGTCCATTCTAGTTCCCACAGGCAACTGTGAGAGAGCAGAGGAAGGAAAAGCACAAATCCCCTCTTGCTCCCCACCCCAACATTTTATTTTGAACATTTTCAAACATCCAGAACGTTTAAATAACTTCAAATAAAACACATTTGTATATATCCAATTCAATTTATATTTTGATATTATATATCCTTGGTCCCATTTCTGTCATATGTTCATTCTTCACACAACCTCTCTTGATTTTTGATGCAAAGTCAGCTGCAGACATAAATGCGCGTCACTCCCAAGCACTTCAGCACGACTCTCAGTAACTACACTCCGGTGTTTGTGGAAGTTCTTCATGCTGTTTCATAGTCAGTTTCTGCCCCCACCCACCCAGAATCGCTCATTAATTTTGCTTTTTCTATAAATTCATACAAATGTAATTGTACAATGAATACTCTTTCTAAGATTTCCTCAGCAAAGTGCTTTTGATATCCATCTGAGTTATTGCATATTCAGTAATTTATTT